AATTTGTGAGCCGTTCATAGCCCAGCATATGTAATTGTAACGTCTAAGTGACTTGTACAACATGGAATTCATATAAAACAGAATTATCAACAGTGTTATAGATGGGTCTACTGTACCTCCAGTTCTATTTCAGTGTTTAACTGTTTTTTTCCAAAAAATTTTTGAATTTATGGCTGTCTTATTTTGTTTTATTCAGATCAGTAGTACAGTTGACTCTTGATAACTTGAAGTGGAAGGAGTAGGAAAAAACTTTATCAGTACTTTTATTAGAACATAGATATTTATACAGAAAGAACAGTTAGATGTAAATATGTTATATATTTATTAATTCTTATATTTTTGTATGTATGTATATATACATACGTACAAAGGAGCAAAATTGTATGTTTCTTCAAGTGTGTGTAATTGCTTAATTTTACTTTAATATAATTTATCTCTTTAGAAATACAACACACAGCCTACAATGCCAGATATGAAATAAATTCATGAAGTCTTAGGTTTTAAGTAATTTAAATGTGCTCTCAAAATCATTGACTTAAGCTCTATTCATTTCATCTCTCTATTGGTGTCAAATTGGGATAAAATAAAAATTCAGCTTACTTGCCACATTCCACTTATCATCCAACATATATTACTAATGTGCCCTTGGTACAAAACAGCCAGAGAACACTACCTTTGACAACAAATATCTTCAGATGACCAAGCTCTTTGGAGTATACTGCACAATAACAGACAAATTCAATCTACAATGGCATATCTAAAGGCAATAAACTTATATACAAAACTCTAGGAGATAAAGGAGAATGATTATCATGTATTAAAAGACCCAAAAGGGCATACAGCAACATAACTCGCTAGATCTGGCACACTGGTGAACAGTACCTAGGCCTATTTTGCCACAAAATTCCAAATCCAATCAACCAACTAAAAATTCAACTTAGCAAGACTTTTGATTTTATGAAATTCAGCTTATCGAGAGTTAACTGTTTAGTTGCAGACTGTTCAGAGTAGGGATAGATTTAATTGTGTGAGATAGATCAGTTCATTGAAAATGATTTAAGAAATTGCCAATTGAAATGGTTGGATCTGAGACAGAGATTAAAGATTTTATTTGAGAGTTAAAATTTTTCTAATTAAAATAAGAAATTTTAAACTTATATTTTCATGATGCTGTTTTGGAAATTTATAAGGTTTTGATTTTTTTCCTCCTCCAGTATTTAAAGAAAATTGCTTTTGATGTTTTATCAAATGCAATTATAATAGGATCAAGCTATTATTTTATTTATATTTGTAATTAAAATAATCAATCTCTTAAAATATGATTTCTTAATTAGCAAATGAAGTAATTATCATTTGAATACTGGAAACACTAATGAAATTTCTTAATCTTAAAAATAATACTTCAAATGACACTGTTTCCAGGTCTCTATGGGATAGTAGGACCACTCAGATGGACTGTACATTTCTAAATTCAACACTTATATCACCAGTGAGTTCTCCATTGAGTCTCTCCATTGAACGATCTGACGTCATGTTTTGTAGAATAAATAAATGTTTCCATTGAAAGGGCATTTTTCATGATGGCCGACTTAATTAAGGAGAAGAAAACAACTGTGACTGTTTTGCTAAATAATGAAAATGATTATTCAAATGAATCCTTCTCCATCATTTTCTTCTATACTGGGTCTTTCTTCAATAATTTGAATTTCTTGATTATATATATCATTATCATTAGGAAGACTTAAAGAGGGCTAAATATTGGTCATAATCAATTTTGGACATATTCATGGAGGTAGTTTGTTTCTGAAAAAAAGCTTAATAATAATTCAGTATTGACCAAATTATCCGACATAATCATGCAATCATATGTTGTATCATATACAGATTGTTCATCAATCTGTCTGCTATTACAGCATCCACAGCATGAGCAAATCGATAGTTTCTATACATGAAATTTACTTGTTTTATGAATGCCATCATGTTAGTTAGTTGAATACTCAACGGTCTTTCAGGTCATTGAAACTGTTGAGCTCAACAGTGAAACAGTGCTGACAGTCATTAGTCTCAATGGAAAACTCAGTGGTCCATTTAAAAACATCATTTTCTCACTGTTGGATATAGAAACGTACGGGGTAATGGGGCAGCCTGGAGCAAAATGTATATTGAGGTCTTACAGCAAATTAAATTATTATATTACTGTACAGTAAAGGAAGTAATTGAAATAACATTGTATAGGGTCCCTAATTCCTCAGGGCCAGGGCAATTTACTTCTTTTGCCCTCTCTGGGCACCCTTTTAAGAAAGTGTACTAAGACTTTGATAAGGCCTACATATAGAAATTACTATATATGATACTGATTTTGTGCTATATTTCATAAATTGACAGATCATAATTTGTTTTTCTTCATAATGTATTCAAATAGATGCAGAGGTCAAAATTTGATTGCTGTAAAACAACATGTCCCAAAGATAATCTGTTTTTTAGACATTTAACAATCATAGAGTTTAAAATATAGCAGATTTTATGTTAATAATTATTTTAAAGGAACACTTTAAGGATAGAATTTAAAATAATAACAACAACTTTAACAGAGTTTAAATTTTGATGTAAAATTTAACATCCCCAAATCCATCTTTCAATGTCAGCTTTATTTTTATCTAACTTTATTTTAAAAAAATCAAATTAATCAGTTTCATAAAATTTTAGAATAAGTTAATTTCACTGTGTGTAAAGCTATTAATGTGAGAATATTTTAAAAAATTTTATAAACAGTTTCCTACATCCCTAGTAAAATGTCCCTTCCATTACCATAACAAAACTAAAAAAAAAATGATAACTAAAATCAGTTTGTTTGCCTGGAAACATTGTAAACACATGTCAATCCAAGATGAATGCTGTTGTGGGAAACATGAATATGTAATTCGTTGTGGAAAGTTAAAAATTAAACAGAGATAAGTTGCTGTATTTTTATGGTTTTAATACGTTCCTCCTCTATACTTCTGGAATATTGTGTAATGTTAAATGAATCTGAGATGTTTGAACTGTTGAATTAAAATGTAAAAGCAGTGTTGGAGTTTTTTGAGGTTTAACAATACTGATGATACTAACATGCTAAACTTAGTAAATATAAATTTCATTTTAGTTGTTGTTGTGTATATGGTGGTTTTTTTTCCTCCATAGCTGCAACATCTTTCTAAAATTGAGTTTGTTTGTTTATTTTATGCTTCATGTAAAAAATTGCATCCAAAAATTTTAAAATGTTTTGAAGTTAAATATAATGAGCAGATGTTAGAAAATTTTCATATAAGGCACCTTTTGTGGTCAAATTAATTTTTAATTTCTATTTTTTATTTTGTGATGGAGGCAACATTACAGTCCAGTATTATACAAACTAATTTAATCTATGTACTTAATGTCATTGCTAGGTGTAATAAACCCTTTTATTACAAAATACCCTGTTTTGAGACAAATTTATTTATTTGGTTTTACAGTTACTCTTATGATTATATTGTACCCTAATCAAATTTTGACCTGCAGACTAGCATATCATCTATAAACTTAGCATTAAAAATGTTCTTAATTATTTATCAGTTCAGTTTAAATGTTGTTTTGTTTTTATAAATATTTCAAATTCTATATGGAATTCAAAATAGATTTCTATAAAAATTTTTACAGATAATTTGTATGTACTTTTTTACTTCAACTTTTGTAAATTTTGATAATTTTTGTAACGTATAGCAACTCCATATTATAAATGCATTTGCTGAAGAAAAAGAATTCAAAATAAATTGAATATATATGCAGTGGTACCTCGGTATACGTCTGCTTTAGAATACGTCCAATTCAGAATACGTCCTGTTTGGACGAAACAAATTTTGCTCGGTATACAACTTAATTCAATTATACGCGCCATCTATAAACAAGTAGCACTATCAGTGTACTAGACCAGACTAGACGTTTGTGGTGCCACAGTTTATAACTTTGTTAAATTTTTTCTGATTTTAATTTGTAAGTAAAATTTTATTATTTTTATTAAACATGAATTGCAAAAAGGCAAATGAGAAGCAACAGAAAACTAAAAAAAAAAATGACTAGAATCACAATGGAACTGAAAAAAGAGATTGAGAAATATGAAGGTGTCACGCGTGTTCGAGATTTTAACTGTTGCATACCGTATTCTGAGAATGACGATATCAACAATCGTGAAAAATAAAAACATTATTAAATCTGCTATCGTTGCGAAAGGGGTTAAATCAATTTCTAAACAGAGATCGAAGACATTAGATCATGTTGAGAAAATGCTTTTGTTTTGGATAACTGAAAAAGTGTGCTGGAGACATCATATCAGAAGCAATTATTTGCGAGAAAGCTAAAAAGATACATGCTGATCTCATGAAAAATCAAGCAGGAACTAGCCAGGAAAGTGAGGTGTTTCATTCCAGCCACTTTTTTCATGAGAACGGATTAATCATTTTTACATTATTTCATTACTTCTTATGGGAAAGGTTGGTTTGGTATATGTCCTATTCAGTATAAATCCAAACATCATGAACGGATTAAGGTCGTATACCGAGGTTCCACTGTATATATATATACAATCTAAGTGAAAGTAAAAGTTCTTTTATGTGTAACTTGAAGTAAATAGCTCAATTTACAAAAATAATATAGTTTTAATTAAATATCAAAAATCAGTTTGTCATCATCATCATTGTATACTTAATATCAATGAGAAAACTAATAGATTCTGTAAGTAGTAGTAATCAATGAATTAATCATTTCATGCATTAACTTTTAATAGATTGGATGAAGTTCAATAATTTAAAAATATCAATCATTTTCAATGAACTGATCTAGAAATTTTTAAATTATTTTCTTTTCTTCATTTATGTGTTTGTTATGTCATTTAAGAATTTTTATAAATTGTAAACATATTTTTTATAATCTACTTTTACATAATTATAAACATGATTTCTAAACTGATATTATTTATTACTACTTAGATGAATGAAGTTTGACTTATTTCTTCATACAGGAGCAAAATGTATATTGAGGTCTTACAGCAAATTAAATTATTATATTACTGTACAGTAAAGGAAGTAATTGAAATAACATTGTATAGGGTCCCTAATTCCTCAGGGCCAGGGCAATTTACTTCTTTTGCCCTCTCTGGGCACCCTTTTAAGAAAGTGTANTATTTATTTCAGATTGCTGCTTTTGTATGGAGATTGATGATACATTATCATATTATTCACCATTTCTTTGTTAGTGATTCACAAATTTAATCTCAAAAGTTGGTATCAGATTATTCTTAATATTCTAAGTCAAATTGTATTCTTTGTGCTATTTCTTTTTTAAAAAAACAAAAAAAGAAGTTGAAAATAAAAAAATTTTCAGAAATATTTTATTGAATAAAAAATGTCAAAGATAAAATAATTAAATAGAAATGATTATTTTCTCTGTTGCTAAAAAGTGAACTTGCCCATAATTTTAATAATAATAATATTTTTAAATGCTTAAAAATATATTCTGATTCACTCGTTTGTTTTATTGTTTCATAATTATAGACTGTTTACACATTTAAAGTGATTATACAGTCTGGTTATGGAAAGAATCAATTTGTGTGTTAACCACTGAGCATCAGCCACTGATTACAAGTTGTGGCAAGTTACTTCTGGTTTCTTCCTGGTTTGTTAAACATGTCATCACCATTATAAACAGTGTTATGGAAGCTTCACATTCTGATATTGGAATATGAGAAAGATTCACTATAATAGTTGTTAAATGCATAATTTTTTACAGTTAATGCATGCTATAAAAAATTAACACAACAGAAAAGTCATTCTGCCATCTAGTGAGAGAAAATAAAATAAAATTTACATATTGCATGACATATTAAGCAAAAATGCTGACATCACGTATGACATTGCTCTCAAGTCGATTCCCTCCATAGGCAGACTGTAGTTTAATCTGAAGCATTAACATTTGAATATCTTTTGTTCCTTTGATCAGTACAATAATTCTGTTATATCCAGTTTTATTACTTTACAAAATATAAAAAGTCAAATATTTTTATGTAGAAAACCTTGTGGGAAATTGTCAAATTTTTGCCAAAAGTTTTATTATATTTTAATAAGCACAAATTTTATGTCTAGGAATATATTTTTAATAATATAAATTTATAAATATATGAGTATATTTAGGAATGCTGTTTTCTGATGCAACAGATACTAAAAATTTTTAATAGTTTCTAATGTTTTAACATATCACACAAGATATATCAAATACTATAAATTTCATAAATTCTCATTTAATTTTTTTATGCTTGTAACCTACATATCAACAAATAATAGTATTCATCAAATGTAATAAATGGTATAGGATAGAATAGTTTTATAAAATATAAAGTATTTTTGTATTTTCATCCCATGTTCCAATTAACTTATTCCAATTAGAGTTTGAGTATATAAAATACTCAAACTCTAATATCTTTCTAATGAGAATTTTCAGCCTTTATTAGTTGGAAATTTCTGCATATAATTTAACTGTTAATTTGTCATCAATGTAATATGCATGCATATATTCATTACCTATCTTGGTTCATCATTTGTCATTTATGAAATGTCTAGCAAAGAGAACAAAATTTTATTTCTAGTTTTTTTTATCATGGAACATTCTCAAATATAAAATAAGTTACAAAAACAAATGGATGAGAGGTTTGTAATAAATACATATAATCAGTAAACATTATTAGTTTTCTATATTTTTTAAACAAATACACCAATTATGAGAGTAAATTGTTTTGTGATGGTCAAATTGCAATTTCTCATGGTTATTGAAATTGCACTTCAGTTTACAACAATCAATAAAAACAAAATGAAAGTGAATGAATAAAGTGTAATAAGCCAAATATTAATTTTCAGATATGTTTTTTTTAATGTAATATAAACTAAAATTTTTGTTGTTGTTGCATTTGGATTTAGTATTAAATGTAGATAGGATTCTTCTGATTTAGTGCTATCATCTATTATACAATGCTTTTTAGTCTTCCTGGTTTATCTGTTTGTCTATCATGAACTACTGCATAACTGCAACAAGATGTAACTATAAAATAACTGAGTAAAAAGTCCCATTTCAGTTATTTCATTTCCTTGTTGTTTTGAATTGATGCAACAGTGAAATGGCTGAGGTTTTTAAGACACCAGCCTGCTGCTCTGGAGACCTGGGATTTGAATCTGTGCAAACAACTCCAGGCATTTTTTTGGGGGCCTGGCCAAACCTATGATAGGTATTATTTAAAATATATTACAGGTATACCTCGCCTTACGTCGGTAATTGGTTCCAGGAAAACGACGTAAGTCGAATTTACTTGTCTCCGAATCTACTTATCACTAGGCTAAACCGTAAATTACCATTCCCGGTTCTGTATTTTAGTTATTAATGCATTTTTAATAATATATGGTTAATAAAAATCTATTTTAAGCTTACAAACAAATAAATTTTAGTTTTTAATATAGTACAAAAAAAAGTAATCTAAATTTACGAATGCATGTACTGTAAATACAGTACATACTTGTATATATTTTAATATGATTTTATGTGCTTTAAACGTTTATCTAGTGATATTACGACTTCAATATTTGTGGCGGACAGACGTAAAGTCGAATAAAATGACTTAAACTTGATTTTTATTTTTCCATATACTTTTTTAACAAGCGACGTATAATCGGGAACGACGTAACTCGAAACGACGTAAGTCGAGGTATGCCTGTATATTAAAATGGCCAAAGTCTGATATCAGACTTAATGTATCATAACGTATATGAATTTAAAACTTGAGAAATTGAAATAATTTTTCTAAAATCTCCATTTTATGGAACTAATGATAGATAACTAGATTCTAATATGTAATTCATTACATTTACATATCATATGCATATGCTATTTTTGAGATATGTAATAAAAGCACTTACACTTGAAAGATATGAACATTTAAACTTAAAACTTTTCTAAAATTTTTCAAATGATTAGTTTTCTAATACAGATAACAATTTAAAGAAACACATGATTTGTTGAGAATTTACTAATTATAGATATTTGCTAAAAACAAAGTAAATTTAAATATTAAAATGAGCATAGTTCTTATTTTAAAAGTTTTGATGAAACTTCTTTATTAATTCATTAATTAATTATTTATTTCAGATTGCTGCTTTTGTATGGAGATTGATGATACATTATCATATTATTCACCATTTCTTTGTTAGTGATTCACAAATTTAATCTCAAAAGTTGGTATCAGATTATTCTTAATATTCTAAGTCAAATTGTATTCTTTGTGCTATTTCTTTTTTAAAAAAACAAAAAAAAAATGGAGGTGGTGTATATTGGTATTTAGCAGTTCCTGAATTGAGAAGTTAAATTATAATGAGAAAATTCCAAATCAACATTTTAAAACATTGTAATATGTTTCAACTAATTGTAATTAATTTTTTTTATTTTTATTATTATTATTGAACTAATGCATAATTGCATTTTATTGTTTGTTTATATTTTCAATAGAAATATTTGTGATGTTTATCACTTTCAATGTAATGTAGTATGATGTTAGTATTGAAATAAAAAAAATTAAAATTGAACTTCTATAAATTATTATATGTAAAATTTCACATAATTTTATTCATTGTGTAGTGATATATTTATATAATCTAATTTTGTAGATCATCAGTAATAACAAAAATGGTATGAAATTTGAATAATAAACTTCTGTTTAATTTTTCTTACAAATTTTGCCTCTTAAATGAAGAGAGAATATTTTTCAAATGAAATCTGCTTTGCATTTTCAAATGTAGTCTATAATTATCAGAACGTTGATGAAAGCAGTAAAAATTAAAATTTTAGTAGTTACTATTTTGATTTTTTCAAATTGCAATTTTTCAGAATTGTCGTCATCAATAGAAATACAGTGGAACCTCGCTATACGACCTTAATCCTTTCCTGATGTTTGGACTTATACCGAATAGGACATTTACCAAACCAACCTTTCCCATAAGAAGTAATGTAAAAATGATTAATCCGTTCTCATGAAAAAAGTGGCTGGCTTGAAACACCTCGCTTTCCTGACTAGTTCCTGCTTGATATTTTCATGAGATCAGCATGTATCTTTTTAGCTTTCTCATAAATAATTGCTTCTGATACGCTGTCTCTAGCACACTGTTCTTCAGTTATCCAAAGCAAAAGCAATTTCGCAATTTCTTAACATGGTTTAATGTCTTCGATCTCTGTTTAGAAATTGATTTAACCCCTTTCGCAACGTTAGCAGATTTAATAATGTTTTTATTTATTGCGATTGTTGATATCGTCATTCTTGGAATACGCTTAAAATACAGTTAAAATCTGAAACACGCGTGCCACCTTCATATTTCTCAACAGTCTTCTTTTTTCAGTTCCATTGTGATTCTAGTCATTTTTTGTTTTCTGTTGCTTCTCATTTGCCTTTTTGCAATTCATGATTAATAAAAATAATAAAATTTAACTTACAAATTAAAATCAGAAGAAATTTAACAAAGTTATAAACTGTGGCACTGCTAACGTCTAGTCTGGCCTAGTACACCGATAGTGCTACTTGTTCATAGATGGCACGTATAATTGAAGTAAGTCGTATACTGAGCAAAATTTGTTTCGTCCAAACAGGACGTATTCTGAATTGGACGTATTCTAAAGCAGACGTATACCGAGGTACCACTGTAGTACCAATAGTGACAGAATACAGATATAATTACAGGGCTTGGTGTTTTTACATGTAACTAAATAGTATATATTTTAAGAATATTTCATAGTAATGACCAAAACAGCAGTGAAATTAAAGCCACATACTATGAAGGCCGTTTCTTTTTCAACCTCTGATGGTCCATAAAACAAAGACAAATGTAAATAACAAAATAAATTTATCACCAAAAGTTAGGTACAAACATGGTTACTTTACAACATAATAACTGTGAAGATTGAGGCATTTGTCTGTCTGTGGACGAGCTTTGAAATCCCC